AGAAAATTGCAAATCAGAAAACACAAGGTACATATGTTACAGCTTTGCACTACTTTCACTACAGCAGCATGCAGGCATCTCCTAAATATGCATGAACATCCCATGGCAACAAAATCCACAAATCCCAACAGAAAAGTTTTCACTCAATGAACTGAATAGAATAATCTATACAAAAAGGAGAACGGGCGGCAGGAGTTGGACCTGAATAGATGTTAAGCAATGAGCAGCTCTTAGTGCTCGTGAAGCAAGCACCAATACAAATCCACACAAAAAGAGCATCAAAATTACAAAAGGGATAATAATATAAAATGTAAGCAGAAGGGATGAAAGGAATATTAAGAATAGAGTACAAGATTTTGGGAATTTACGTGGCCTCCTCAAGCGAATATATACGAAGCTCATACATAACTCGATGTGCCAAAACAGGGTGTCGTGTGGGGGATGTTGCAACTCCTACAATATCAGAATTAAGCTGGCTCTGGACTCCAGGATCAACTTCCAAATGACGAAATGAGGAAGCATACAGGCAACACAGGCCGCTAAAAATCTCCCACAAGGTGAAAAAATGTGCACCCATTTCACTGCAATGATATTTGTAGATAACAGTTTAAAGAATATTAGGGATATATTTTGCAGCATACATAAGACCATATCAGCAACAAGACACAAAGGAGATTAGCTTTCAGAAGAAGCCGAAATACAGGAAATGGAATAATTAATAGACAATGCCTTCAAAAACTATGTCGGTAAAGAACACACCTACAAAGCACAGCATGAGGAATGGTCAAACGACATTTCTCTGAATCAAGGAAAGCGCACGGATCTTTCATATCATGTAGCCATATTCTAAGTTGAACAGTGCAAGGTAGTTCTGCAGCTGCTGTTTCCGCAAGAGATGTGGCAAGTTCGGATTGGATTCTGCTGGCAGCAGGTTAAGGATCACTACTGTCATGTATGATGTTGCTATAACCAGATTCCCCAGTTCTGCCTGAGGAGACCATACGAGAATGTGAAGAACGATGCCGTAAATTTGATCTTCCAAAAACTCTTGATTGGCCAACACTCGTGGCCATAGCTGAGGAGGCTACTGAAGCAGAAGTTCCTGCTTCACCAGCTGGAAGGAGTTCTCATGACCACCACCAGTAGCCAAATGCATATTGCGCTGACCAGCTTGGGTCTGACCAATTAACCATCCTTGCAAGAAAGGTAGCTCCCATGAAGTTGGATCACCAAAAGGAAAAAACTGAGTAGTTCTTTCCACTGATTGCACCTCCATCGTCTCCATTGCAGAATGGGAAACATCAGTTTCCATCTCAGTTGGTAAAGGATTGCCTCCTGTTTCTTCTGGCAATGGCGAAGAGCTATTGGGTTCAACAGGAGACCAAAAGTTCATATTGCCCGGTTGGAGTTGAATAAGTCAGAAGCCATACCGAGGCTGATTGATCAACTCTCTGATGCACACCATTTGAACCAATGTCACCATCAGTATTCTGCAAAGATGTTCTCCCATTATCTCTAGAAAATGATGGCCATATCATGAAAGGTAAAGACATTAGAGGTAGTTCATTTGTCAAATTAGATTGATCGTTTGCCAAATATACAGTTGGGGCTGGATAACGCAAGTAACCAGGAGAAGTTGCCACTGTCATTGATGAATCAGGTGCGTCAAGATCGTTGACCTGCAAATCAGCCCAAAAATCTAATTACTAAGAGTGTAGACTAAGTACATAATCGATTGGATAGAACCGAATTTCACCTCAGCAGTCAAAAGAAATGGAGCCGCATATGAATGAAAATGTACAGCTCGGAGAGAACGTCGTGTCTTCAGTATAATAGATAGAGATGACGTCTCTCCTCTCCTAATGCCATATATATAACTGACAACAGCTCTAAAGTCAGGCAGTTTTATCTTAATCCATATAAAGAAGTACACATATTTCTATCAAAAAAAAAAGTACACATATATGGAACAATCAGCCTCACCTTATGCCCTGAGGTTACTGCAAGAACTTCTCCTTGAGCATGGAAAGCAATAGATGCAATAGGACGGTCTGCGTTAAGGAGAAAAATGAGAAATAACAAAGAGCATAAGCACATTCATGTGCTCTCAATGTGAAATGTTACAAAGGGAAATCCACAAGAGTAATTACAGAAATCACGTGTTCCTATACACTCAGCAGAATTTGCATTCCACAGGCGAACTTCATGATCCAAAATTCCACTTGCAAGTATCTCTGGATACAACGGATGGAATCTAACCTGTAAAATCCAAGCAGCGCAAACCATTAATGCATGCTCTACCATAAACACCCCAATTGCAAAATCATTTAGGCACTCAAGAGAATAAAGGGATCAAGTAAATTAACTAGAAACCTAATTATAGATAAATCATATTGTTATCTTCATGTGCTGAATCAAAGATCTAAAAATGCATTTACAAAATACAAAGCACCAAAGTGATCTTCTGGATGCATACAAATGAATTGAGCAGCTTTGTTTTATAAGCTAATTTTTTATGAATCCAATTAGGTTAAAGCAACGTAGAATTCAACAAAATTTAAAAGGAAAAAAGTTACAGCCTTACCGCCCAAGTTGTCCTACGATGACCACTCAACACCTTCAAACAGTTTCCAGTCTGGCAATCAATAATCTTAACCGTATGATCTCCACTGCAGGATCAAAATCCAAGTAAAATATGCATCAAATCTAAGGTTGAAGTTAACTGGGCTTTAGACTGATAAAATACAGGTAAAAGTAACTGACTGTGTAGAAGCGTTTTTCCATCTGGATTTAAGGCTGCTGCAATAGTAGACCTCAGAGGAGGCACCAATGGGCAGTATTTTGCTGAAAAATGTCGCATTGACTCTGCCTCTACCCTGCAACCCCATTGAAGTGCAATAAAATTTATCAGAATCCCTACTATAAATAGGAACAAAATTTATGAATCACACATAAATACATTCCGATTAAAAGAATGGACAAAGTAAGATACAAAACACAGTTGCTTCCACTTACAAAACTATGAAAGAAACTGGAAAAGAATGATATTACCAGGAAAGAAGATCAGATCATGCATCTCTTGTTGCTTAACATTTTGGCCCGTAGGAATCCGGACGGCTCTTTGACCCTTCTCCCCATAGCTTCCGTGATGACCGTTTGGTTCGTGGAGAAACTTCTCTCTGCGCCAATAACTGAAAGACATTGCTAGTGCAAGCAAAAACATAAAAAAGAACTTAGTCAGCATAACCATGAAATATCAAAATTGTGTACTCAAATCAATATAAATGGAATAATGGACAATTCAAACCTAAAAATCTAGAGCTCAATGAGCATAGAAGAACAAATTAAATAGTTAAATCTGTAAATATCTCAGATGACTCCATTAAATGTTACAATTCTGATAACATGTATGTGTTAATTTTATCAGCTTAGGAGGGAATAACATTTTCCATAAACACTTTTCTTGCAATTAAACCATAGATCTCTTTTAGTAATTTGGACAAAAATGAATCTGGAATAAATCACCATTTCTTTGTAGCAATGTTTTATCTGAATTGGCTGAAATTTTGCGACAATTCATAAACATTAAAAAATGCTTTAGATTAAGAAAATAGCATCAAAGGTTCAAGTATTCAAATCCTTTCAACAACACGATAGGAAAATTTCCAGCTCAGTTCCAAAATTAATCAATAATTCAGCATAAAACAACCCAAATTTCACAAATCAACATGCAAAACAAATCCAGATCCCAAAATACACCACACTTTCTAATCAATACGGAACCAGATCCTAAATTTACATCAAAATCTACTGAAGTCTATCCGAATCCAAAAGAGTAACCCTAGGATTCAAATCCAACTCCAATTCACCTAACAAAAAAATAGGCTCAAAATTTATTGGCATAAAATGTTTTACCTGGTCCTTCGCGAGCTGTAAGTTGATGGCGCATTCAAATCTTCGATTCGTACTGAAGAATGTCTCATCATTTGCCAGAGTTTCTCAGCTTCAATATGTCTCGGCATTTTATTAAAGAAAGATAAAAAAGGGCTGAGAAATATTCTTTCCTTCTGTTTAAAATAGAGGGATAGGGGAATTAGGTTTCGAATTCGTTTGTCGATCAGTATTAATTATTATTAGTTTAATTTTTTAAAAATAATTATTTATTTATTTATATTTTTTATTGGTTAGTGGTTAGATCACTCTGTTTGTTTCTAGGGAAAACCTAGAAGAAAATTTTAAAATAATAGTAATAATTAAAAAAAAGGTAAACTACATGGGTAGTACTAAACTTTTAATAAGTTTACACTTTAGTCATCAAGATCAAAAATAAAAAACTTTCATCAGTGTTTCTATTGTTGAAGAATGATTTCATTTCGACCGTCGTGGTTAAAAAATCCGACTCATAATGCTTACATGTTTAAGCCGAATCCAATAATGTGAATGCTTGTAAATAAATAATAGTTTATCTTATCTTTTCTGGTAATCGTAATACTTTCTTTTATTAGTTTGGGTGAATACAAAATAATATTTGAGACTCTCAACCATTTGGCTATGAACATTAATATATTTCTACATATGCAATACTTGAACCCGATATCTTCAAGAATAATAACAATTCTTTAGTCACTGAGATCGGGTGATTCGTAGATTCGGAGTTCTGACACCCTTCAATTACACGAAAGTCATTTTTATTAGGGAATGAGGTAGCATGTCACTATACTCATCCTTCAATAGTTGTTGTTTTCTTGGTAAAAGGGAACATTCCATCCTCGGAACACTTCTTCCGATCCATAACTCTTTCGGTTTGAGTTAGGTAAATCCGTGAACTCGATTTGTTCGTTCTAAAAAAAATGAAGAATCAGAACAACATATTCGGAGTGCCAACACCCTTCGATTACAAGAGTCATTGTTATTAGGGAATGAAGTCAACAGTTCTTAATCAATTACACAGAAACACTACCTAAAAAGGAAAAGAAGCTATTCAAACATACAGGCAAATTTCAATGAAGTTTTTTCCCACCTTCACGCATAATCTCGTATGCAAGTTTAAATTTTTCTACAGATGTTGTCCCACATTCTACATATTTACAAGCTGTTTCTCTCAAACTCCAAACCATCAAGGCCTTTAGTTCTTGTGAGCTTACCCTCGACTCGGCACCGCATAGGATGCGGTACTCGGCGTTTCTCAACCACCGGGGTAAGATATAGAAAGTATAGAGCCGTCTACACTGTTCTTCTATTGCTTCTTTTGTTTGCGAAAAGGCCTGCAAATTGAAAGAATTGAAATCTTCTTTCCTTTCCTCCTCGCGTCGTTGCTCGAGTCCTTGTTCGTATTGGGGAATGAACTCCCTTAGTGGCGTTTGGCCATTTACCAGTGTACCAAAGAATGATTCAACGCTTTCACCTATAGGGATGCCGGCGAAAAACTTTCCCCGTAAATACAACGGAACCCAACTTTCACGTTTATCGTACATGTGTTGTAACCAAACATTTCCCTTCAAGCTGTATTTATTTATAAGTGAATTCCATGTGGTGTTGAACTCGATGGTTGTCTGACTTTCGTAAATGCACTTTTCATACTCGTACCTAAACTCAATAGGCATTGACCGCAGATTCTCCCGCTCCTTGGCTCTAATCTGCCATGATGAAAAACGATGATGAGTGCCAGGAAAGACTTCAGTTATTGCTTGCTGGATGGCCATGTCTTGATCGGCAATAATCGACTTAGGTCGGTACCGAGACATTGCCTTAAACCATGTTTGAAACAACCAAGTAAAACACTCCTTCGATTCATTAGCAATCAAAGCAGATCCAAGAAGCACTGGCTGCTTGTGATGGTTTACTCCAACGAATGTGGCAAATGGCACCACATAGTTACTTTTCCTGTACGAAGTATCGAAAATAACAACATCACCAAATTGACTGCATGAATATCTAGATCTGCCATCCGCCCAAAAGACACTTCGGCAACTACCATTGTCAACCTCCACTGAATAAAAGAATCCGGTTTCTTCTGCTTGTCTGGTTTGAAAATACTCTAAAAGTACAGGGTACCAATCAGTTCCGATTTTGTTCTCTGGGCTTCTTTTGGTAATCTTTCCGTTATTCATTTCACTGAGATCCATAGAGAACACGGCATCGGTTTCTTCCTCTATAAATTTCTTCAAAGAGGTGGAAAATTTTTTGTCATACACCATTTGCACTTCGAGATCATGATTATGATCTTTATTAAGACGATCTACCATCCAACTTCCCAAGTCTTTCCTCTTAATCCTCATAAATGCCCCACAACCTACTCTCGAGGGGTGCTGGAAACCTTCTTTTGAGCACACAAATCTTCGGGAAGTAATTGACCCATCATTCTTTGAGCGAAACAACTGCCCAATCCGAACTCGAAACCCAACACTTTCAGCATATGCTTGATAATATTCGTATGCTTCATTAGCTGTATTGAACTCTAGACCTGAATATGGTTCAGCTATAGATTGTCTTCCATCTCCACCTCGTTTTTGCTTTTTGAAATTTATGATACCCGATGGAGACAATACTCCATTATCTATTTGCCCCAGCAATTTGACTTTCGGCCTGCGCAACACTTCAACCAAAGATTTCGTAACAACAGGAGGTCCCTGCTGCAAGACGGGCGAGCTGCATTCCCCTTCAATCCCGAGTTCATGATTATGATCCTTCTGAATTTGGTCAATAGCCCACTTCCCAGAATCACGCCTTTGCACCCTAATGAAAGCAGGACAACCCGTCCTCGAATTCAGCTGAAACCCTTCCTTTGAGCAAACAAATCTTCTCGAAGAAACCGACCCATCTCTCCTCGACCGATACAACTGACCAGTTCGGATTTTAAACCCGACACGCATTGCATACAGACCGTAGAACTCGCGTGCCTCGTCCGCCGAATCAAACTCCAAACCGACAGATGGTTCCATTCTCAACTCTCCTTCACCTTCTACACTACCACCACTGTGGATTACGCCGATTGGGAAGGCATTTACTACCATTGGATTCATACATTCTCCACTATTTGGATTACTATCCAGGCTGTCTTCATTAAAATACAAATGGTTACAAGAAGATTATCACGATACAGCTTAGATCATTCAAGCTCAAGAACTTCAAACACACTACTCCAATATCTAAGAAATATGCATAATTATTAGAGCTAAAATAATGAAAAAAAGAAATTAAAAAATGAAAAATCCCTTTGTTTCGACTTGTATTGAGTAACGAACTAGAAAATGAAATTTGAACATGAAACTAAAATAATTTTTTATGGAGAAATGAAAAGAAAACCAGAAATCTAATCACAAAAACAGAGGCAAAAAAAACATCAAAATTAAAATAATAATAATAACATGATTAATTTGAAGATTAAAGACAAATTAAAAGCAAGGGTTCCTCGTCCCCGACATCCAATTTCCCCCCAAAAGTGAAAAAGAATGTTACCTTCTGAAATCTGTGAAGTGATTTGATTCTGAATCGACTTCCATATCTGGGTCTAGAGTTCAAAACCCAAAACACTAAATCTGGGTCTAATTTATCTCTTTTTTTAGTGGGAAATTATGGGGTAGAAGGAAACCTAACAATTTATTTAAAAAAATAAAAAAAAAATTAAGGTTGAGGGTTTTGAAAGGGTGAAAGAAAGAAGGTGATGGAGTTTTTGGCTCTTAATCTTCCATTGACCTCTTTCTTCTGCTTTGGGCTCTTTTCTCTTCTGCCTTCGTAAAGTTACTATAGCCCATCATTTTTTGTTTATTATTATTTCTTGAGTAAACTATGCATTTAATACCTAAACTATTTATTTTAGTCCGTTTTAATATCTAAACTTTTATTATTTTCACAATCATACCTAAATTTTATTTTTTGTTTCATTTTAATACCCGTCATTAAAAACTTAATGCATTTAGTACCTAAACTATCAATTTTGATCTTTTTAGTACCTAAATTTAAAAAAAATCAAAATTTAAGTATAATTTAAGTACTAAACATGTTTTGGTATCTAGACTTTCTTTTTTTTTCAAAACTTAACTGTGAGGTACTAAAATGAAAGAAAAACTAAACTTTAGGTAATATTTTAAAAAAATTGAAAGTTTTGTTTTTTAATATTTTTACTGTTTTTCATTCTGATCTTTTACTGTAAATTCTAATGTTACTGAATAAAATAAAAAAAATATTAGATCAAATCATTGGCATGTTTTACTTTAAAATTTAAAATGAAATTAAATAAAAATTTTATTTTCTCCTAATTAATCTAAGGTGCTTATATTAGATAGTATATGTTCTAAAGACTCTCAATCATTTGACAATGAACGATCAAATATATTGTAGTCTCTGGTACTCGAATTTGAGACATGTAGGGATAATAATCATTCCTTAAATCACTGAAGTAACTTGGTTCGTTCTAAATAAAACCGAGGTAACATGTCATTGAATCCTTCAATTCAAATGTTATCGTACCCAAATAGCATATATGAATTGTTAGTGTAATTTTTTTTTTATAAATTCTAAATCTAATTTTAATATTATTTAGAGGGGAGGGGAAAAGAATACTCTAGAGGAAAGAAAATGAGTTATATGAGGGAACAAAGATGAACAACTCAATCAATCGACTAAATATGTCATAATTAATACGTTCTAATGTTGTTATAATATAAGGTGTTAGCCAAATATCATACATGAATTAACACGTTCTCATATATATTTATTATCATTCTTAATCATTGATAACATGCACACATCTTATAGACACAACTGCTCGAACACAGAATCTTAAGGAAAAACAACAATCTCTTTAATCACTAATATCACTCAATGAATTTAAATTTAATTTAAATCTTAATAATACCATTTAAAAAATGTTCTAATATTTATGTCTCGTTATATATATGATTATATCCGGAATTATTATGGCCTAATTACAAATTTAATACATTACTTCATTTTCTTTCTCTCATAATTTTCTCTCATTGGTAAGTCGTTTATCTTTTTTTTATCTTTGTTGATTGTTTGCGGCACTAATTTTAATGTTGGTTGTCAACCGTCAATATTCTTTATTGTCCTTTTATTTTCTTATATTACAATTTTTTTTAATTTTCAATAAGTCTGTCTGTATGGCACATTTTCATTTGCCTTTATTGCACATTTTCTTTTGCCTTTTAGCATGTTTTTCGGTCGTTTGATTGTTATTTTCACTTATCTTTTTTTAAGAGTTGATTTGACATTGTCACGAATGATCAAGATGGTGCTTATATGTTATATTGTTTATATTCTCTGCTTTAGACACTCGGATTGGATTTAGATATCTGTTATGCATTCGTAGATAGTTTTTCACGTCACTCGAGTCTAATTTGTAGTTTGTCGATAGTCTTTCAATAGCTTGATCCCCTTTTCTGGTTCGTTTGTCGATGCGGTCAGATATGTTTGTATCTACCTTTGTTCGAATTTTCTTTGTTAGATTTTAATATTTCCTTGCATGGTTCTCATGTGATTTTAAGTTGCTAATTTTGTTTCAATGATTATAGCAAATTGTCCTAATTACGTGCTTAATTTACTATTATAATCATAAATCTTTATTATAATTTAAAATGTTTACTATTTTGAATAAAATTATTGATTTCTAAAAAAACACATTTTCCTGCTTGTATAATAGTATTTATCAACCGAATTAACATTCTATAGAAAATAAATAAATATTAATTTAGTGACAACGTTTTAAAAATACATTTGACGGGTCATGTTTTATTATATGTTACATATACTTTTTTTTCTTCTAAATGTTGAATTACCAATCAAATGTATTTTTAAAATGTTGTATTTTCTATCTAATGTATTTTCAAAATCAAAGTTTAATTATGGTTTAAATATGAATATGCAATCAAATTAAATAAAAAATAAATTAGTTGAGTTTAAAATTATTATTTTATATTTAAATTGTGTTAAAAAAATTAATCGAATATATTTTCTTAAAACTTTTATCAGATTTAATACTAATCAGGGGTTGATGCACTTGGTCCCTCATGGAGCCAAGTGCATACCCATTATTTTGAATAAGTTCTTAAATATAGTTTAATATATTAAGGGAAGAAGAAAAATAAAAAAAAAATTCATACCTATTTTATTGAGAAAAAATAGTATTAAAATTTTTAGATTCTTATTTTTAAATTTCTCAACATGCCACTATTGTTTTTAATTTAAACAATACCTTTTGATTATATATAATTTATAATATATTTTTAAATTTTTAAATGTGTAATTATCTAAAATTAATGAGATTTTAAGGACATGATATTAAGATAAGTATAAAGAGTCATAAAATTGATGAAAATAATTTGAAAAAGTTATTGTTAGAGAACCAAATAAAATAAAATAAAAACAAAATTAGGGGACTATATTGCAAAAAGATGTAGTGAAAAAAATTGAAGTTACACATGTAACACCTCAATTTTCGGGCTAGTAATTTCGGGTTTACCCGAGAGGTATGTGGGCTTCATGGAGTTCGTAATTAAAGTCGTTAGGCTAAGTTTGGGTTTGGATCGAGCCCAATTGTTAATAAAAAATTGGGTTTTTTATTAGTGGAAAGTTGAAGAAGGACCAAACATGAAACTTCACCTTTTTTCAAAGATTAGGGCTTTTTATCTTATTTCATCTTCTTCCTCTCTTCATTTCTCTTCATTATCATTTCTTCCTTCTTCCTCTCCAAGCTCCATAGCTCAAAGGTAAGTTCTTGAGCCTCTTTCATTCTTCAATCCACCCCTAATCCCTCCAGTAAATTTGTTTTGATGATTCAAAGCCTTGGGTTCTTTATTGCTAGAGAAAGTGGGGGTTTAACATCCAAGTCTTAAAGGAAATGAGTGTGGCTAAGAAATGAGCTTCATTTCGGGATTCTAGAATCAAGGTAGTGTATTTCTAATCCTTTACAATATTAAGACTTTCATAATCATGAAGATTTGTTGAGATTTGGGTATTTAAGTATTTTAGTGCTTATGCTTGATTCATGTTATATATAACATTTTTGTCGCTTAGATTGTGTTTTATGGTGCTAGATGACCCTAAATAACTTCAACATGATTTTGGACTAAACTAGAGTGTTTGAGATGATTTTTAAGTGATTCCCGAGCCTATTTTTGGGTTTTTTGGGTTGTAGTATCGATATTGTTCATATTTTAGGTGAAAAATGGGTTTTATGGGCCACTGTATTGATACCATTGGTATCAATACTAGTCTATTAGTATTGATATTGGGGGTAATAGTATCGATACTAGAGGCTCGGTATCGATACTGGATTCTTGGTATCGATACCGGTAAGTTGGTATCTATACTAGGTGAACTGGCATCCATACCGAAGGCTTGGCATTCATACCGAAAGATTCAATATCCATACCTAAGGCTTGAGATCAATACCGAAGGTCATTAAAGGACTAGAAATGCCCTTGAGGGTAATAAATGACCAGAATACCCTTATATGGCATAAATTACCAAAACACACTTAATGGGTAATAAACTTAAAAAATACCCTTAAAGGGACACATAAGGAATGATTGTGAATGATGAATCATTGCGAAGGATTCAATTGTAAATGAGATGGTGTACCATACGAATAATGTAACATAGAAGTTGTGTACCACGTGAACATTGGTAAACCAATGAAGCACAAGTTGTCCCTCTAGTTCAAGGATAAATTCAGGAAAGCATAATGAGAGAGATTAGATTGCCATTACCTAGTAATGAACCCTAGTAAGGTATCGAGCTATCAAATATTCAGCAAGTGAACAACAGAATCAGTAACTGTCGTAAAATCATGAAATGCACAGAGACCTCCTTAAAGGTATAAATGACTAAAACACCCTTGAATGATAAATGACCAGATTAAAGCAAGTTTTAAACTATCAGAAGTGACATACTAATAAGCCCCTGCATAACATTCTAGATGAGAGAACGAGCAAGATAACAGTTAAGGATAACAGTAAAAAAGAACAGTAACAACTTAATAAATCTCATAGAATAATATCATAAAATTAGCCTTTGTGCGACACTTGGGAAACAATCAGGATACCTGAGTTACTCTAGTGGTAGAGCAATTGTTTTGTTTGTTAAAATGTTCAGAGATATCTCAGTCAGTGCTAAGGCACTTCAGCTGCCAACTGGGCGCAGATGCCCCAGGATTCGACAGAGTAAGTTGATCAGGTGTACGTTTTCGATGCAGCTCTTGATCTCACCCCATATACCCAACACTATCCAAGGTAAGATAAAGAGGTATGTGCTCCGAGATGTATCCCTTCAATCATACCATTATGCCTACCTTAGCTTGTGTGCTTGTTGATTGTGTGTAGCATAGCAGTGTTAGTGTCGCATTCAGATAATATGCAGCAGTTACAGTCATTAGGGTTAAAGGCCCTTTAGAGGTGTACTCATGGAGAAGTCCTTAGCACAGGATTAAGAGAAGCGTGAAACATCTACTTCAGTGATAAAACAATTGAGCCTTAAGTAGGTAGCACTTGATTTTTATCATGCGTATACCTATTTCTTAGTACCATATCTTTAGCATGCTTATGTTTATGAGACTCGTAATGCTACTCTAGATTAGCTATTATACTACTGGACTTTGTAAGCTCAACGTTCAGATGTTTACTGTTGAACTATGTTTTATAATAGTTTGATATAACAAATTTAAGGCAAAATGTTTTTAGACTTGAATTAAATTTGTTCAAAGTTTTTCAAAAGTTTTCAAAAAAAATTTAAATTGAATTTGAGGACA